CCCGCAGTGTTTGGTTGTTCCTCAAAATAACCTTCATTCTCTGGCTCCTGTTGAATAAGCTGATCCATTCAAAACTGAACAAGGTTGAGGAGAAATCGTGCTTATATTAAAAAATCTTTAAGTCTTTGTCCCCATTCTCTAACTTCCTTATGTTTTGGCTATTTAGCTCTATCCCTACTATCTACTAGAATTTCTCATATTTAAACCAAGATGGGAGACTAGGTCATTAGGAAAATATTATCGTCTACAATTTTCTTATACTTTGATCTGTCTTTTATTTGATCGTAAGCTGCTGATGGACAGTGATCATTATAAACTGAATTTTGTATAGTACTAGTTTTATATGAAACTAGATTTTTATTGCACTCAGGTTATGTTCCTTTTACCTCCTTCCTTAATAAAGAGACCACTTGAAATAATGCAAGTACTGTTTCTGCACCTCATCCCACCTCTTCCCTATTCATGAGATGGTGCAGAACCCCAGCACAGTCTTTTCCATATAGTAGGTGTCTTTAAGTTTGTTGAATTGGTTGCTGTCTTGCTCTGTCTTTAGATTATTTGCCTTTAGATTATTTATCTTGGGTATAGGTATTGGTATCAGGAATTGGTATCAGGCTGAGTCTATTTGTATGGATATTTTTAATGTAAACATAAATGTAACTGAGATGATTTATATATTCTATTGTTAGACTACTTTGTTTTGATTTGAAATGTGTGAACCTGTGAGCATGAACTGTGCTGTAAGTTTAACCACTGACCCCTTTCATTAATAACTGGATTCTTAGCATGAATGGATAACGAAGTAGAATAGAAAATTTTTAAAATTTAATAAAGATAACAAAGATAAATGAAAGATTTGAGGGTGAGTTCAGAATCTGCCTTGGCTGACTTCCATATGATGAACAGTAAAGTTGGATAACTACCACTCAAAATCTCTGGACTACATTGTCCTAATTTGAACTGTGTGATGTGGTGGAGAGAATACTGATTTAAGAATCAGAAGTCTTAATTACAGATCAGCTTAACTATTTTCCCTTAAATTGCCATTGGGAATCCTTTTTTTGCCCTTATGTCATCATGGTTAACTTAGTTCCTGAGGTGGCCCTCTTGTTTGGTTTCTCAGAAATAAGAGGAAGGATGGTTACTGTTTGATCGGTTACTAGAGGTCCTGTTGGGACAATGTATTTTAAACTTAGAGCATTTGAATATATTTTACTGTAAAGACAAGAAGGACAAAAAGGGTGATTAGGGAAACAAAATCTCAAGCCAGAGATTTTTTTTTTTTTTTGAGATGGAGTCTCGCTCTGTCGCCCAGGCTGGAGTGCAGTGGCGTGATCTCAGCTCACTGCAAGCTCTGCCTCCTGGGTTCACGCCATTCTCCTGCCTCAGCCTCCTGAGTAGCTGGGACTACAGGCGCCCGCCACCACGCTTGGCTAATTTTTTGTATTTTTTTTAGTAGAGACGGGGTTTCACCGTGTTAGCCAGGATGGTCTCGATCTCCTGACCTCGTGATCCACCTGCTTCGGCCTCTTTTTTTCTTTACTGTAAGAGCCAGGAAATTCAGTGTCATGCAGTGGGATAAAAGTTAGGCATTAGAACAAATAAAAAAAGGAGATGAGAACTTGTCTGGGTGAGGTTAGTCCTCCCAGTGAAGTGATTCAGACCATCTTCCCTGCATGCTAGGGGTTTTTCCAGACATCCTTCATTTTAGTCTGGGGCAGGAAGAACAGGGTGCTGCTGTGAAATGATAAACCATTGAGGTTTGACAGTGTGACCTGAAGGTTTGAAGGTGTGACTAGAAGCTGTGTGCTAAGCTTCTAGCTAACAGTATGGTCAGAAAGGAGTGAGTAAAATGTGTGGTTTCCCAAATAAAAAATGCTTTTGCAGGAAAGGAGCCAGAAAATAAGCAAATTAATACTTCATATATTCATATTTGTGTGTTACGTGCATGTTTTGCACAAAAGTGAATTTGGAACACAAAGTACCAGAACATTCAAAACTCTCACATTTCTCTTCTTTCTGTTTTATTAACTGGTTGTGATAAGGTTTAATACTTCCAACTTTGTGCCTCTTTAATCAAAAGGCCAAGTAGGGAGTTTCAATCCCATTTGAAGTTACTGTTATCTTCTGGTGCTGATTGTGTTTTCCTTTAAAGGAGAAATTTGCCTTTTCCAGCAATTCAGAGCTTGGTAATGAAGAGAATACAGAAGGAGCAGCTAGCAAATTTGACTTTCCCATCATCAGTTTCATTCTGCCTCTTTTCAAAACTATGAACAAATCTAGATTTTATAGTCAATTCCTTTTAACTTGATCCACTTTGTTCATCAAGTGCACTTGTAGGCATCATACCTCTTACATGTGCTGCAGTTTCAATAATGAAAAAGACAGACTTATGGACTTTACATTATGTTAGAGAGACAATACGTAAAAAGTATAAAAAAGGGTGCTCTGCACTTGTCTAGTCTCCATCCTGAGAACTATTCACCTTCTTTCCGGCTATATGGATGTAAATCAAAACAGAAAAATGCCTCAACATCACCAGTATGTATCTGCATGGGGCAGTAAGATATGCAGCCACAGAATGGTTTCTCTAGAGCAATGGTGGCACTGGTACTCCAAGCCTCATGGCAGGATGGAGAACCTGGTTCGGTATGATATGTCAGGATTTCTCGACTGCAGTCCTGGTGTTTCCCCTATTACAACCTTAGGGGAAGAAAAACAAGAAAACAGTTACTTATTTTGAAGTGTAAGAAATCCTGTCTGTAGTGCTAACGTTTATTAGTCCTAGCCTATGAAGCGTGTGATACTTTTATTGAACCTATGAGAAAAGTGAGGCTTGAGGATTTGGTTGACTTATTCAAATTTTATAGATAAGAACGACTTGAATCTTGGACTTCAAGTAACAATTTTAACATTTATGAGAGCCTACCGTATATATGCCAGGTTGTAGTTAGGCACTTCAAGATGGATCTTATCTCATTTAACCCTCACAGCAACCTTGGATGGCCAAAAAATTCACTATTTTACTATGGTGAATACAAGACTTAGAGAAATGAAGTGACTTCCCTGAAGTCACATGTGGGAGCTAGGGGCCAGCATTTCAAGCCAGATTTTCCTGGTTCCAGGATTCATACTTTGTGGCAAGACCTTGTTGGAAGCCTAGGTCCTTCTGGATTCATGGTCCATTGTGCTCTGTCTTCAGTCAGGCCTGATTTTAAACAGGAATGAAGAATTAGCAATAACGTTTCCTTATGCAAGTCAATGAGCTTCTTCACTTTAGTTTCCTCATTTGTGAAATAGGGACAATAATACACACTTGTAAATGTTGGGAGGTTTTAATATGGTACTGTGCACAAGAGGTACTCCAATACATGACAGTATCTCTGTCACCTTTTCAACATCCGCTATTACTACACCCCAGCCCCTGCCCCCGTCACCTACTTCCTATCTTTTCTCACAGAACTAACTTCCTTTATTTATTCTTTTGGCATTGAGATAAAGGAATACGGACCATCTTTACTCTGATTTGGGATTGACAAAACCAATCCAGGATGGAGGGAAAGAAGAAAATGCCCAGCAGCAAGTATTCCTGAAGCGCCCAAACTCCACGCATGAAACTTTACCTTCATTATTGAGTAAAATTAGCCTCTGGGAGATGTTTCATCTGACGGCCTGCACATGATGATGTGGCCGACTTCAGGGACTACATGTCCCTGTATCAGCAATTTCCCCTGCTGCTCTGTGCCTCTCTAGCCCACACTCCTTATTAACCACTATCACCTGATTTGAAGAACAATTTCAATTGGTTTCCTAGAACTGTAATCAGAAGATTGAAAAAAACTGAATCCAGTAAAAGTGAAAGTCAGTGAGAGATCTCAGTACATTCTGACAGGGTTCACCTCATGGTAGAGTGATAAAAATGAATTTTTTAAAGTTTTCAATATAGGTGAAAATGTGAGGCCTTGCGGGAAGGTTTTAGGGACAGATTTATGAAGTGAGATTTTGTAGACTTCAAGTAGAGAAATAATTTGCCAGTATCTTTTTCTGAAAAAATCAAATGTGAACATTTTCACACACAACTGATGGAATATCAATGGGAACATCTTTTCTGGAGGGCATTTGGTGACATATATTAAAGTTCTTTAAATACATATACCCTTTGACATCTAATTTTATGCTTAAAAAGTTTCCCTAACAAAATATTCAACAGTACAGACCAAATAGATTTTACAATAGCAAAAAATTGAAAACAATTTAAGTATCCAACAGTAGTGGATTGCCTAAATAAATGGTGGTTTATCCCTATGAGTAATATTTTAAAAATAACATTTCAGATGAATTTCTTTAAAATAATGGAATACATATTATTTATTAGAAAATAATAAATCAAAAATACTGTGTAAGGAATGATACCAACCTTGATAGTAAATGTAACATACAGAGAAAAAACTGGAAGAATATATGCCACAATTTTATAGTGGAATTATGGATGTTTTAAAGTAACTTTAAAAAATACATTTACCTGAAATAAACATAGATAGAAAAAGGAACTTTTAAAAAAATAGTGACATATAGGAGAACATTTCTAACAGAGAGACTATTATTTAAACTAAGAGCTAAATACTTTAATCATTACACTTCTTTTATATATGTCTATATTTTTATACGTAGACATTTTAGTCATCTCTTTTACCAGCAGTTTCTCTATGTTAGTTTTTTGTTAATGATATTAGTTTTATTTTCTCCAAAGATGTGTACAAAATTTTATCTTTTCAGCCCTCAAATACTGATTTTGAACTTTATTTTGCAAAGAGTACTAAGTGGTTGTTAGTTGAGATAGAGAATCTACAGCTCTTGACCATCTTTCCTTTCCCATCAGTATCAGCTTTCATCATACAATTTCCTCTTACCACTTTGGTCAAGAGGTGGGGCAGAAAATTTTGAGTTAGAATAACATTCGAAGACAATTTATTTCTGCCTTTCATGTTATAACCCCTTAGGGATCCAGGACCGGAAAGGCCAGCTTCTCCCTCATTTTGAAATCAGCTTTCTCCACCTGCACCACTGCATAGCACAGATACAGGTAATATCCGCTTTTATTTTCTCAGATCTTTCTACCAGATTATCCTTAGTCTTACTAATTCTAGAAATATGGCATTTAATTACAAATGACTTAGCATTATAACAGGAATGACAGGAAAGCATTCGCTACTGATTCTATTAGAGCTGCATTACTCTGAAGGAAATTGTAGTTCAGTATTAACAAAAAGTTATTTTCTCTTTCTCAATATGCTATGACTTTTGCTTTGTGTTATCAAAATAAAGAATAGAGATTTGAGGGGTTAATTACTTTTTACTTAAGTCTAACGATTTATATATTTTATCCATCTTGAATGACTCTATAGTGGAAAATACTTATTTTTCTTAGGAAATTAGCAAAAATGTGACTGGGTTAGAAAATTTTGTAAATTAAAAAAATTTAGAAAGGAATATGGTTACATGTGCAATTTGTTTTTTCATATTTCTCATTTCTTGGGTATCATCTTTTTATATTGACTAACATAAGAAGTAAATTTTAGGTATTTGCTATTTAATTATTCTTTTCTATATTGACATTTATTAATAAATTGAATCTTTTATGGACATTAATGACTGCTTGTTGACAACTTTTATTTTCATTTAGGCTTCTCTGGCAATATAATATACTGGAAGATTATTTCTAAAATTTTAATGTACATGGAATAATTTGAGATTAAAAATACATTTGTCTGGGCTCCAACCGAAGTGATTTTTATTTAGTACATCTTGCAAAAGGCACTGAATCTGGAATGTTAACCAATTTGCAATATTAACCCTCAAATAATTCTTTTGTAGAGGGTATATGTGATACATTTTGGGAAACACTCTGGTAGAGTCAAGTATGGTTGAAAAGAATGCAAGAACTTTGTTATATTTATATGTATGTTAGAATACATGTAAGTTTTTAAAAGCCAAGCTATTTTTATTTTTTCAGAATTTGGACTTTTTGTTGAACTGATAGTTTTAAAGTGTTTCAGTGATTTACGGTGGTATCAATTTTGCCCAACATTTGTATATGTATTTTGAATATTTTGAGCAAAATTGGCTGGATGAATAGAACAATAATCTATTGGTAGATTTTTTTTCTCATCATTTCTCTATTTTCTAATTATTATGACTGTGATCACTAGAAGTATAAATGACTTTACCAAAAATGTTGAAAGATTTTTCATTTCTTCTATAAATGAGGCTCACTCTACATGCTTTAGGCACTTAGTTAATAAACACACACCAACAGACACAGACAGACACACACACATCTCTCAGCATCAAATCCTGGTGTGTTCCTATTGGCTGACATTTTAATTTTTCTTTCAACAGAAGCCATCCTGTTGCAGGATTTGAATGCAAAACTTATCTTCTTACTCTAAAGATGAATGATCAGGGAGAGGTTTATTCAACCCTGAGATTTTTGCAGCCTCCTTCAGAGTCGCAGAATAGATTAAGGCCTGATGATACTCAAAGGCCTGGGAAAACTGATGACAAAGGTATGCATTTTAAGCATCTACATTCACCTGTTTCTTATGGATTGTCAAACTTTTGACATTTGAAAAAAGATTCCTATCTGTACTTCTGGTTCTTGGCTGGTAATAAGAAACTATAATGGGGTAGAGTAGTAGAAGTATTTTTTTTTAAGTTGTGAGGATGGAGAAATGAGTGAATTCTTTTAAATTTGAGAAGCTAGCAGAATGTTTTTATTTAAATCTAGTCAAGAAGAATTTGTGAGGCCTTGATAATAAAGGACAGACTAGAGTCTGAAGAAAACCTTACGTTTTCTTAGAGACGTAAAAGTATAAGAGAGTGTGTAAGAAATGAAAAATCAATGTTAAAACAACATTTTTATGCAGATAGAAGATATTTTATGTGCCTTAAGTATTTACCAAATCTTAATGGCAATGATGCAGAAACAATGTTTGAATCAAAAGGGCATTCTAATTTTTCTATTGCTCTCTCTCTCCCTTCAAATATGATCATTGTTAAACTCTACAATGAGAATAACTTTTACTGCTTTAATATAATCAGAGATACAACTTTCAGACACTGAGGATCTCAAAAGCGAAAGGCTATAGTATTGTTTAGAGAAAAATAGAATTGATGAAAAAGAAAGAAAAGTTGATTTCTAGAAACTCCCTCAAAGATGGAGCCATCCATATTTGCAGCTTCAGAATATCCACTATTTGACTACTAATTTCTTAGCATTATTGACTGCTTTTTCCTTTCTCTTCATGATTAGTTGTGATCACAGGAAGGAGCACACATGCTAGCTTAGATTTTACTACATGTTTTGTGTCTACTGCTATTGGTGCTTTTATGCGGGATGGACTTTTTAAATCCTATGGAACTATTCCTGTGTGGGGGATTTCTACAATGCATGCATGTAACTTCCAGATTACACATTTAAATATACTTATGTGATATATTTTTGTCAAAGTTTTAGAGAAGATTGTCTCTTTGTTTCAAATGGTTTCTCAGGTCAAGGTTAGTAGTGAGCTGAGCTCTTCCCCTGGTGATTATTTTCCTTATTTTTCTATTTAAAGAGTTTTCAGTGCCCTGGCGTCTCATTGCAGTGACTCTTGGGATCCTCTGTTTATTTCTTCTGATGATAGTCACAGTGTTGGTGACAAAGAGTGAGTAGTAAAATACAGCTTTCTTGTCTGAGTAGCAGCAGTAACCCCTGATTGTGCAGATATTAACCATGCTCCATCCATTGTTCCCCGTCTGTAATCAGAGAGTGTCCCAGGTGGCTTTGGCCTTTGTTGGTGATTTTTTTCTGGGCATATCACAGTGTCATTTTTAATGTACTTAACCTTGACCATGAATCTGTGATGAGCTGTCTCACTGTGTATAATACATGGTAATATTCCTTCTCATAGAGGATTTAGTAATACATGTATTCTGCCATTTGGGTTTGATTATTGTGAATCTGAGATAAACATTCTTTGAGGGACAACTGTTCAAAAGAAATTATGGCTTTCTCTTGACATTTCTCAAAGTATGTAATGACGAAATGGTTTAGTAAAACAATCTGCACATGCTGTTATATAATATTAAATTTAAGCTTTATCTTTTGTTTGAATTCCTCATATCTTTAGAGAAAAATCACTGATATTTTATATTCAGATAAAATTACATATCTGGATCTTACTCTCTTTTCTGCTGCGGATATTCTATCTGCTCCAATAATAATTGTGCTATCCTTTCATGTTTCTTAGTTCAGATTTTCATATGCAGAAGATATGTGGTTAAATGTTGGCAAATTGACTTTTACTTTCGTGCTTATTTATAAATGATGTGTTATTAAAAATGAACTAAACTGAGAAATAAGGTGTCACCTTCATAATTTTATTCAGATATTTTATTTTATTTATCCTACACTTAAGTTGCTAATGGTGAGAAATTTATGTTTCCCTTTTTATGGTCAGTTTGTTGAGGTATTACTTTCTAAATGTCAAATGAGTAATTAAAGTAATAACTAATTAAAGTAATGATTAATGGTTGTTAGAGTAAAATTTTTTCCTTTGTCTTAAATTTCAATATTTAACTATTATGAGTACTTATTTGTATTATATGTATGCTATTTTAGTCTTTCAGTGTGTTCAAGAAAAACATGAACAGCAGGAAATTCTAAGAAACTGTAGTGAAAAGTACATCATGCAAAATGATAACTACTTAAAAGAGCAGCTTTTGACAAATAAGACTTTAAAATATGACATTCTCAAAAAAGACAGCTTTCTGCAGAAAAAGGAACTGGATTCACTCCTCATGCTAAAGAGCAGATGTCATAGAGAAAATGAGATCGTTTTAAAATTTTTGCAAAATACAGGTACGAAGGAAATCTTGAAAGAAAGATTGCATGATTTTACATTATTTCTTCCCCTCCATAATCCTTGAAGCCTAATAAACAGGCTTATGATATGTATTAGTGATCTCTGAGGTCTACTGGGCAACTTTTAGTCTGTGCCTTATAGATGTAGTGTGGGTATCTTGGAGGTTTGCTTGTTTCAAATACGGAATTGGGACTCCAGGATCCATGTTTGGATTAGTAAAAGCCTATAGTTCCCAAAACTCATTGGCACGTCTTACATTATTACTGCTCCCAAAAGGTGAACTAGTATGTAAACTCCCCTGAAAATTCTGATCATTTCGGTCCTGTGAGCAAATTAAAGACTTCCACTTTTTGCTGACATAGAATATGGAGGTTTTCAGTTAAAATATATTTGCACTAAAATGGGCACAAGGACTTTTATTTGGATGCTGTTATAAAGATTATTGTGTGTGTCATGCACGTATGTGTGTTTCCATTCTGCCTTGATTTCACATATTTGGTCTATTTGTGATCAATATGTACTCCCTCCTGCACATCTACAAGATTTGCCATAGTGTTAATGTTTGTGCGACTCTGTGTGATGATACCATTAAAAGCACCTAAGGTATAAAAATATTAAATCTCATACAGTAAACTCTATTATCTTGCATAATGATGGAATTAATTGACCTGGTTAATCAACAATTACTAAATATTTGTTTAGGATTTAGAGTTTACAAAGAACTTTTGTATATTTAATCTCATTTAGGCATGGTAATTAGTAGAAATTTACCATCTCCATTTTTAAAGGTTGAGTAATATTTTAAAAATTTCGTATGGCATAAAATATATGAGGAAAAGAAAAAGTTTAAAAAATTTTTTCTTTTATTTAGAAAGCATTCTAAAATCTTTTTTAAAAACTTAATTCAGTTTTATTATTTTTAGACAATTTTATTATTATTGATATACAAAAATGCATATTTTTAATGTTTTCAATTTGATGAATTTGGACAGAACTGAAACCATCACCACAATCAGAGTAATAGATATATCCATCATCTCCAAAAGTTTCCTCATGTCTTTTTATTTATTTATGTATTTGCGGTCACAACATGAGATCTACCCTCTTAATAAGTTTTTAAGTGTACGATACAGTATCATTAACTATTGGCACTACGCTGTACAGCAGATCTCTAGAACCTAGGCATCTTGTATGACTGAAACTTTATACCATTGAACAACTCTTCATTTCCACTTCCCTCCAACCCTGGGCAACCACCATTATATGCTTCTGTGAGTTTAACTATTTTAGATCCCTCATATAATTGGAATAATAAAGTATTAGTTCTTCTGTGACTGGCTTATTTCACTTAGCATTATGTCCTCAAGGTTCATCCATGTTGTCATATACAGAAGGACTTACTTCTTTTAAAAGCTGAATAATATTCTGTTTTTTGTATATAACACATTTTCCTTAGCCATTCGTCCGTCAATGGACATTTAGATTGTTTCCATAGCTTGGCTATTGTGAATAATGCTGCATTGGACATGGGAGTGAAGGTATCTCTTGTATTCCAGAATCTTGATGAACCTCGTATTATCATTATTGATTGCTATTGGGATTTTATTTAGTTATGGAGGGCTGAGAAACATATTGCTCTGGTTAGCAGAATACCAGATGACAAGAAGTTTGATGATTCACCTAATATATTGTAGGCAAATTCTCTGAAGACCACTGGTCCTGTTGTGGAGTAAACTGTTATTATTTTACCATGCAGAAGAAAGACTGGAAGGGATGTAAACAAACTTGTCAACATTGTAGATCATCTCTTTTGAAGATAGATGACAAAGATGAACTGGTATTTTACATTCACTTTTATTCTCTTGGACTCTGTCTCTCAATGTTGGACCTAAGATATTGAAGACAGACTGGAGTCCAGAATGAGAGACCTTAGCTAGTCTTTGTGTGTGTTTGTTGTGTGAGCAAAATGGTATAGTTAAGAGGCTCCCAGGAAACACTCCCTGCTAGTGGTCATATAATTCTGCTACTTACTAAATATTCAATACATGTTATCTATCGTGATGACCATTATCATTAAGGATGCTGTTTGCGTCTTTGCAAATCATCTCCCTATGAGTGGTTATACTGCAGACTCCTTAGAAAGGGAGATGGATGACCTCTAGTATTTATTTAACCTCTCTGAGCCTATCTTCAAAATGGAGATAATAATGAGGAACATAAAAGTGATAACAGCTTTACCAATTTGCCTCAATAGTGATTTTCATTGCATTCGTAGGTAACACTCACTTAACATTGTTATATATTATCTCAAGATGTGTATCTTTAAAACAGAATTGTAAAAAGAGAAAATATAGTGACATATTGTAACAATATTGAATGATAGTGATAACAATATTGAATATAACAATATTGAATTTTTAAAAAATTGTGTTTAAAATTTTTAAAAAGTGTTACTAATAAAAGTTATCCAAATACTCAAAACATGTTTTTATAGAGATATGTTTGCAAAGATTAGCCTGAAACCTTTATTCATTGTTTAGGAAAACAACAGAAAATATATATGCAAATCTAATGAATGTTTAAAATCATAGCATAAAAGAATTCATGATATCAAGTTATGAAATAATTTCATATGATAATTTCATATCAAGTGTAAAACAGTTACATTTAAACTTATATTTTAAAATATATTTAGTCATTTAGTCAGACATTATGTAATATGTCACTTGGATATATTACATTTTAGACATAGTAAATACTTTCAAATACTTCACCCATTCCAGCTGTGGAACTATAGCAAGGCTTCCTCTTATGGGGCTTAAGATTTTACTGCACCCCTATCATACACACACCTTTTTATTTTAATAGATTTGTTCTGAGGACTCCTTTCTTCACTTAAGATTAAGTGATGATCAATTTTCTACATCCTAAGTATTCTCCTGGCGTGTGATTTTGGATAGTTTCATAAAGCATTATAAAAATATTTAACAACTTTCCTGTTGGTAGATATTTGGATTTGAAACTTTCCATGTTTTAAATAATCTGTGATACTGACAGCCATTTTTTTAACATAAATGAATAATATATTAATACGAGGGGGAAATGACTTTGGGAAATGGAAAGGCAGGGATCTAGGGAAGAGAGGTTTTTCTAGCGAGAACGGATGAAGGATGATGTGGAGAGTAGCAGAGTACTGACCATAGAAACAGCCGGCCCCTTGACCTGTGCTTGTTCTCACTCATCACACAGATGGGAATTTAGTCACTTAATATGTTTTGTTTCTATTATAGGCCTTCATTCAATCTCAGATTTATGAAAATAATTACTGGATTGGATTATCATATGATAAAAGGGAAAGTAAGTGGAAGTGGATTGATAATGGCACATCTCCTGGAATGTAAGTGTCTGGAATGCAGTCAAACTATAACACTGGTGTGGGGGGGTGAAAAGATTGTGTCTAAAGAGAGTCTCTTCTCATTTCACACAGTTCAACTCATTTTTAAGCAGGAGTCTTTAGTAACAATTAGAACAATGAGTAAGAGTGTTTTAGGAAGTATAGGTAGAAAAGGAAGAGAAGGCCATAAAGAGTTATTAATAATAATTTTAAAAGTATCATGCTAAACACATGCCCAGAAATATGTATTATGAGGTACATAAAATGAAACAAAATCATAAAGGAAGGTGGGTGGTATAAACTGATTGGACCATCCTATAAGTCAGCCATAATGATCCCTCCCACAACCACAAATGAGTATCCTGAGTATCCAAAAAATTTATTTCGAGTTACTTTATATGATTAGTTTATACACACATAGCATATAAAACATGTAATATATATGTATATACACCTTCACTATAGACCTTCTATTTTGAAGGACATTATTAGTAAACTCTTGGGTTTACATTTAGTTCTAATCTGGTTAAACTATTCACTGACTTTTTAAAAATCTTAATTATTATAATTTTAAGTGTGGGTTCTGCAAGTATTATAATTCTGGACTGCAAACCTGCAAAAGATGTCATGCAGAGGGAATTACCTTGATGTAATCATATTCTTCAAGCACACTCCCAGGCAGACTATTCCAGAGGTCACAGAACAGAAGGGCTTACAGGCCCAATTAAGATCATCAAATCACAGTTGGTTAAACCAGTGTAAAACCCATAGCACAGTGCAAAGGGAAAGAGAGGATAAGTTGTTGCACTCGGGATAAGGTGCAGGGTGAAAGGATCACCTGAATCTTGGGTTACGCAGTCTTCATACGACATCATCCTCCCCTGATGATGATATGGGGCCATCTTGTGGTGTGAGTAAGGGGACCCAACAGACAAAGTTTTTGTGGCCAGCACACGTGTTTTTCTACAGGGAAGATTCTGTCTTCCAGGAATGTGTAAGCCTGGCCACAGCTGTACGTTTCCAGTTAACCTGATGAGCAGCTGTGGATTTAATTTGTGTTTCTTGGGCAGAGACCAGAATGGGAATCACCAATGGGTGGTGAATTTAAGACCTCATGAATGTTGAGTGTGTATGAGCTTCATGTATATTTTGTGTATGTTTAGTGTCTATTTGATCCCTTCTTTTTTTGTCTATGTTTAATGCACACATACTTTATTTACGGTATCTATATCTAACACCTCATATGTTACTAATTTTACCTGTTCACACCTAACACATCTTGTGAGTTCTACCTGTGCCTTACAAGCTACTTGGTTTCATTTATCTTCCTTACCTGTTTCTTTATTTTCCTGTAGCAGATTTGAACTTTCTTAAGTAATACAGCAAATGCAAACATATGAGGGATGCTTTTTGATTTTGAATTCTTAAGTTGGATTATCAGTTTTCTTTTCTGCTTAGATCCAAGGTTCAAGACAATTCTAGGTGGTTTATACTGAACGTATATCCCTTTGGGTTCTCAGTCCTACGTAGCTTATCTTCTACTTAGAATCTCCATCTTGAGTGGAATTCATTTCAGCCTACTACATCCATTAAGGGAAAAACTATCTTCAGTGCTTCACTTGTTCTCTGCAGTGGGTTTACTTTACTTCATATTCAGCCTGAGTATGAATCTGCTTCTTATCAGTTTATGAAGTTATTCAAGAAGGCTTAACATTTTTTATTCAGTATTTTAAATTGTTTTTAAAAAACTCACTTAATCAACCATTTTACTAAAATAGAAGTCATGCTTTAGATATTTTTCAAAGAATTGTCATTAGCTAATTACTCCTAGCTATAGGGTGGGGGAGGAAAGGAGACAGAACACAAACAATCAATCTCATCTCTGACTGTATTCCAATTCTTCCCTTTTCTTCTTACAATATATATACATGAGCCCTGGTTATCTATGTTACACATACTCAATTCCTCTCTCTCTCTCTCTTTTTTATTGTTTTTAGAGGCAGGATTTCACTTTGTCACCAGGCTGGAGTGCAGTGGCATGATCTCAGCTCACTGTAGCCCCGACCTCCCGGCTCAGTCTCCTGAGTAGGACTGCAGGCATGTGCCACCACACCCTGATAATCTGGTAATTTCTGTATTTTTTGTAGAGATGGGATCTCACTATGTTGCCCAGGCTGGTCTTGAACTCCTGGGCTCCAGTGATGAGCCCACTTCGCCCTTCCAAAGTGCTGGGGCTACAGGTGTGAGCCACTGTACCTGGCCACCTTCTTTTTAATCTCTCACTTTTATTGAAAAAAAATTAGCACAGGAAAGCAATATATCATAATTTCATTGCAATACTGCAAGGTACTTTTGCCTTCTGACCAAAAATTGTCAGTGTGGAATAAAATGGGAGATTGTGGGTGTGATTAAGAGGTCATGATTCTATTTAATGGACTAAGAACAAAAGAAAATATTTTAGTGATGAAGTTATGATAAACATTTCCATATTCTAGACATTTAGGCAACAGAATTTTAAAAAATCATGATTTATGTAACTGTAAGCTTTGGAATTAAACGGCTGGCTACATATGTTTTCTGTTCTACAGTAATTCTACAATAATGCGTTCTTCTTCTGGGAGAGGAGAATGTGCATTTTTGACCTCAACAAGAATGGCAACTATTGATTGCATTCAAAAGTACAATTGTATCTGTGAGAAGAGAACTGACTCTATTTTCTCTGATTCAGTGTGCGCTAAGAAGAAAAGGTGAAAATGAAATGTTTTCTTTTTTTGTTTCCTATAATAATTTGTGACTATAAATCATTGCTTTTAACTACAGGACTTAGTTAATTCTTGAAAAAATAAAGATGAACAGGAAGAAAAAGAAAATTCTTTTGGACTATGACTTTAACGATCAGATGCCGTCTTTCTTCCTGGAAAAGAGGAGATTTTCTCTTTTGAGAGTGGTTATTCCTTCCTTTAATGTCCCTGAGGAATTATTCATTCTTTCTAAATTCTTGGAACTACCTATAGAACCAGTTAGAGAACTCTGATATTATATCCTGGGTCTTTTTCTTATCAATAGGATAAATTATTTCAGCATCTTCTGGTTTTGATAAGCAGTTGTGAACTACAATATAGTTATTTTTTTCTTCCCATCTAGAAGTTACCTCATCTTTTAAAACGTTTGTTTTGCTATAAAATATAACTTGAAACTTACTGAAAGTTGCAAGACTAGTACAAGGAACTTCTATATAATCTTTACTCATACTTACTAGTTGTTTATATTTTGCTCTGCTTTATATTTGTCTCTCTTTCTATCCTCCACTTAATAATAAGTTGAGGCCTTCATGCCCCTTTGTCTAAATATTTTCCAAGATCAAGGACTTTGTTTTATATAATCACAGTGCAATTATCAAACTCAGAAAATTTAGCATTATTACAGTACGATGATCTAATCTGTAATCCATGTTCAAATTTTGTCAATTGTCCCAATAATGTCATTTATATGTATTTTTAAAAACTCCATGTTCAGGATAATGCAGTGCATTTGATTGTAATGTCTCTTTAGTCTCCTTTAATCTGAAACAGTTCTTTAGGCTTTCTTTTTCTCGGCCTTGACATTTTAAAAATTAACTTTATTGAGTTTTACTTTTCATGCAATAAAATGCACTCACTTTAAGTCATGAAGAATATGACTTTTAACATCTATCTATACATATATATATCTTACACAGTATGAAATCAAGATATAGAATATTTTCATCATCTCTAAAAGTTCCTTTCTGTACTTCACCCACTTTGCCCCAGGCAACTAGTGATATGCTTTCTATCACTGCAAATTAGTTTACCTTAGTCTAGAATTTAATGCATCATGTACTCTTCTGTATCTGGCTTATTTTTACTCAGCATGTTTTTGAGTTTTATCTATGCTTTTGTGTATCAGTATTTCATTCTTTTTCTTACTAGGTAGTATTCTATTGTACAGATATACCACAATTTGTTTCTTCATCCACCTGTGGACATGTGATGTGTTTCCATTTATTGGCTACTGTGAATAAAGGTGCCATGAACATTTGTGTGCAAGTATCTGTGTGGACATATTTTAATTTCTTTTTAGTAAATACCTGGGAGTCTGATTGCTGGGCCATCTGGTAAGTGTATGTTTACTTTTATTTATCTATTTTTTAATAAATGGGGTCTCTCTATGTTGCCCAGGCTGGTCTCAAACTCCTGGCCTCAAGCAATACTCTAGCCTTGGCCTCCCAAAGTGTTGTCATTACAGGCATGAGCCACCGTACCTGACCTACTTTTATAAAAAACTTCTAAACTATTTTCCAATGTAATTGTATAATTTTATTTTCCCAGTTGCAACATATGAAAATTACATTTGCTCCTCATCATTTTCAACACTTGATATTGTGTCTTCTTAATTGTAGCCATGATAGGAGCTGTATAGTGGTATCTCATTGTCATTTCTAATTTGCATTTCCTTGAAGACTAATGATACTGAACATCTTTTGATGGGTTTATTGGCCATATATATATTTGTAAAACATTCATATGCCCACTTAAAAAATTGAGTTCATCTGTCTTCTGATAATGGAGTTGTAAGAGTTCCTTATATAATTTGGATACAAATCCTTTGTTAGATATAGATAATATGAATATTTTCTCCCAGGCTATGTCTCGCCTTTTCATTTTCTTAATGGTGTCTTTCAAGAAGCAGAAGTGTTAAAATTTTAGCTCAGGAGATGGGTGCACCAGAACCTCACAAATCATCACTAAAGAACTTACTCATGTAACCAAACACCACCTGTTCACCAATAACCTATGGAAAAATAAATAAATAAATAAAAATTTACTGAAGACTAACATCATTTTTTCCTTATTCATACTTTTTGATGTTCTAGCTAAGAAATCTTTGCCTATGTTAAGAGCACAGAGATTTTCTCACATAATTGCTTCTAGAAGCTTGATAGTTTTATGTTTAGCTTATATCCATTTCAAGTTAATTTTCCTATATAAGTGAGAAAAAAGTTGAGGTTCACTATTATTCCATATGGATATCCAGGTGTTTTTGCACTAGCTGTTAAAAAGACTTTCCTTTTCTTCATTGAGCTACTTTGGTGCCTTTGTACAAAATTAATTGACCTACGTGTGTCAGTCAATTTCTGGATTCTCTATTCTGTCTCAGCATTTTATATGCCTATTTTTGTAATAGTACCATAATGTCTCAATTACTGTAGCTTTATAGTAGCCCTTGAAATCAAACGTGCCAATTCTCCAAATCCATTCTGTTTCAAAAGTATACTGGCTATTCCAGGTTCTTGCATTTTCTCAAAATATCTTCAAAAATGCCTAATGGGATTTTGGCCAGGATTGCTTTGACTCTTTAATCTGAGAGAATTGATGACTTAATAATATTGTTAGAATTAATGAACATGATTTATCTCTCATTTAGTTAGGTCTTTTAAATTTCTCTGAGCAATGTGATACCTTTTGGAATATATTACACATTTTTTTTTTCTTTTTGAGATGATGTCTCACTCTGTCACCCAGGCTGGAGTAGAGTGGCACCATCTCGTCTCACTGCAGCCTCCACCTCTCAGGTTCAAGCGATTCTCCTGCCTCAGCCTCCCGAGTAGTTGGGATTACAGGCATGCACCACCATGCCCAGCTAATTGTGTGTGTGTGTGTGTGTATTTTCAGTAGAGATGGTGTTTCACTATGTTGGCCAGGCTGGTCTCGAACTCCTGACCTCCTGTGATCCACCTGCCTTGGCCTCTCAAAGTGCTGGGATTACAGGTGTTAGCTACCACACCTGGCTAGAATACATTACACATATTTTGTGAAATTTATTTTTTGATCATATTTTAAATGGAATTTAAAATAGTTTTCAAAGTATTTGTTGTTAGTTTATAGAAATAAAATTGAGTTTGTAAATTAACCTCATATCCTATCACTTTGCTAAGTGTACTTCTTATTTCTAGCAATTTTTTTTGTAGATTCCTTAAGAGTTTTCTATGTTCACAATCATGTCCTATAAGAATATGGAAAGTTTTACTTTTCCTTTCCTTGTCTTTCTCTTGTCTTATTGTACTGGCTACGACCTCAAGGACAATGTTAAAGAGGAGTGATTCTAATAGGCATTTGTTCCTCGTTCCCAATCTTACAAAGAAAAGTATTTAGTTTCTCACTATGATATATGAAGTCAGCTGTTGGCTTTTGATAGATTCTCTAGATCATTTTGAGGCAGTTTTCTTCTATTCTTAGTGTGTTAAGAGTTTTATCATGAATGGGAGTTGATTTTTTATACATTTTTCTGTGTCTATTGAGATAATTACATAGCCTTTCTCATTTCGTCACTTAATATGGTGAATTGCATTGATTGATTTCTGCATGTTAAACAAAACTTGTACTTCTCGAATAAATCCCATGTGGTTGCAATATATTATATTCCTTATATGTTGCTGGACTTAACTGGGTAATTGTTAAAGAACTTTTGTGTTTATATTCATAAGAGATATTGATCTATTTAAAAAATTTTTAATGTTTACAGTATAAGGAAGACACTGGTCTTATATATTCATTTGGGATATTTTAAAATATGCTTCTATTTTTGAAAGTTTTTTTTCAGAATTTGTATTTTTCTTTCATGTTTGATCTAATTTACCAGTGAAATAATCTAGGCCTGAGATTTTCTCTGGGAGAATGTATTTAATTAGGAATACCATTTCTTTAATAGACAGGGCCATTTAGACATTCTGTCTCTTCTGTCAATTTTGTTAATCTTTGTCTTTTAAGAAAATTGTTTCATTTGTCTAAATTGTCAAATTTATTGGCATATTGCTTTTCATAGTCCTGTTAGTTTCCTAGGGCTACTGTAACAAAGTACCAGATATTTGGTGGCTTAAAACAACAAAGATTTATTCTCTCACTGTTCTGGAGGCCAGGAGTCCAAAATTAAAGTGTTAACGGGACCACACTCTCTCTGAGATTCTGGATGGAATTTTCCTTGCCTCTTCCTAGCATCCAGTGGTGGCTGTCAGTACCTGGTGTTACTGCACTTTCAGCTTATTCCTCAATTTCTGACTCTGTCATCACATGAATTTCTCCCGGTGTATCTCTGCCTTCACATGTGGTTTTCTCTTTTTCTAAGAACACTAGTCATACTGGATTAGGGCCCACTCTAATGATCTCATGTTAACATGATTACATCTGCGAAACAACCCTGTTACCAAGTAAGGTCATGTTCACAAGTATGGGGGTTATGATTTAAACATATACTTTTGGAGGACATAGTTCAACCCATAACAATAATACTCCTTTATAATCTATGTATTTACTGTCTGTAAGACCTGTGGTTATATTCTTTCTTTTCTGATATTGTATTTATTTGTCTTCCTTGATCAGTCTAGAGATTTATATCCACTTTATTAATCTTTTCAATGAACATTCTTTTTATTTTTTGTTTTTGGTTCAGTTTCTCATACGTCTTTTATTATTTCCTTTCTTCTACTTATTTTGAGTTTAACTGCTTTTATAATCTTGACTTCATAAGTGAAAGTCTCTTTTCACATATAACTACTTGAAGCTATAAATTTCCCTTCAAGTGCTATTTTCCTGCACACCACAAATTTTGTTAGGTCGTTGTTTTTAGCTCATGTCTTAAAAGTATGTTGTTTAGGCGGGGTGCAGTGGCTTACACTTGTAATCCCAGCACTTTGGGAGGCTGAGGTGGGTGGATCACTTGAGGCCAGGAGTTGGAGACCAGCCTGACCAACATGGTGAAACCCCATCTCTACTAAAATACAAAAACATAGCTGGACAACAGAGTGAGACTCTGTCTCAAAAAAAAAGAAAAAAAGTTGTTTAATTTCCAAATATTTCAGGATTTTCCAGATACAATTTTGTTACCGATTTCTAATTTAATTTCTGTGTGTCCAGAAAATATACTATATGATTTTAATACTTTAAAATATGTCAATACTTGTTATATGTCCTAGTATATGGTCCATCATGATAAATGTTCCATGTATACTTGAAAACAATGTGCATTTTGCTCTATTGAAATGGAGTGTTCTATAAATATCAATTGGGTGAAGGTGATTGGTAGCTTTGTTCAGATCTTCTATTGTCCTAATGATTTTTTGGTCTAATTATCAATTATTGAAAGAATGGCTTTTAAATGTTTAAATATGATTTTTACTTGTCTACTTATCTGTTATGTTTTGCTTCACATATTTTAAAGTTTTGTTCTGTCTCATCCACTAGTCTATATGTTCTACCTTAAAATTAATCTTTGTTTTTTATAGTTGTATCCACAGTGCATTAAAGGTTCTGCTCTTCAGTAGTTACTAAATAAATATTTGATAAATTAATGAATTATACCCATGGCATGGTCCTGGGAACTAAAATATCAATTTCTTGGTACCTCGTTGTTTTAGTCTGTTTGGGATGCTATAACAAAATACCATAAACTGGATAGCTTATGAACAACAGAAATTTATTTCTTACAGTTCTGGAGACTGGGAATTCCAAGACCAAAGTGCTAACAAATTCAGTACTTGGTGAAGGCCTGCTTCGTGCTTCACATATGGCCGTCTTTGCTGTGTTTTCTAGTGGAGGAAGAGGCAAGGAAGCTCTCTAGGATATCTTTTATAAGGACATTAATCCCATTCATGAGGGCACGACCCTCATGACCTAATCACCTCCCAAAGTCTCTATCTCCAAATAGCATCACACTGTGGATAAAGTTTCAACAAATGCATTTTTTGGGGGCATAAATATTCAGTATATAGCAGTAGAGAAGAGTTTTTCAGTGTCCATAGAAATGAAATTCTATCATTAAAGAATTTTAATAAATTTATAACTCAAGATTAGAGTTTCTTATTTGAATAGAGTGAGTAGGATGTGGTGATGATCTCATCTCAGCATGAAACAGGAAAGGTTGAAGCATCAAAAATGATTAAAAAATACACAGTGGTAATGTTTCATTTTCATCTTTCTGATTTTATTCATTTCAATCTTCTCTTTTTTCTTAGTCTAGCAAAAGGTTTGTTCATTTTATCTTTTCAGAAAACTAACACTTTGTTTTGTTGATCTTTTGTATTGTTTTAGTCTCTGTTTTTTCATTTCTGCTTTAATGTTTTTATTTCTTTTTTTAAAAAAAAATTATTAAGTTCTGGGATACATGTACAGAACGTGCAGGTTTGTTATGTAGGTATACATGTGCCGTGGTGGTTTGCTGCACCCATCAACCCATCATCTAGGTTTTAAGCCCTGTGTGCATTAGGTATTTGTCCTAATGGTCTCCCTCCCCTTACCCTCCACCCCCTGACAGGCCCCAGTGTGTGATGTTCCCCTCCCTGTGTCCATGTATTCTCATTGTTCAACTCCCACTTGTAAGTGAGAACATGGAATGTTTGGTTTTCTGTTTCTATGTTAGTTTGCTGAGAATGATGGTTTCCAGCTTCATCATGAGCCCGTGAAGGACATGAACTCATTCTGTTTTACAACTGTATAGTATTCCATGGTGTGTATTTGCCACTTTTTAAAAATCTTTATATGTCTTTCCTTTTAATTTCGGATTTAGTTCTTGTTTTTTCTGATTCCTTGAAGTGCAATGTTTGGTTGTTTATTTGAGATCTAATTTTTTGATGTAGGCTACAAATTTCCTTCTTAGAACTCCTTTTGTTGTATCCCATAGGTTTTGATATATTGTGTTTCCATTTTTGTTTGTCCCAAGATATTTTTAATTCCTTTTAAATATATTTATTGACCCATTTATTCTTCAAGTTCCTCCTGTTATTAATTTCTACTTTTATTCCATTGTGGTCAGAAAAGACATTTGATATGATTTTGATATTTAAAAGAAATTGTTGAGACCTGTTTTGTGTTCTAACATATAATACATCCTGGAGAAAGTTCCAAGTGCTAATGAGAAGAATGTGTATTCTGCAGCTGTTGGTTGGACTGTTTTGTAAATATCAGTTAGGTCCATTTGATCTAGAGTACAGTTTAAACCTGATGGGGTTTTTTTGGTTGATTTTCCACATGGATAATCTGTCTGTTTTAGGAACTGGGATGTTGAAGTCTGGTACTATTATTGTATTGCAGTCTGTCCTTTTAGATCTCATAATATTTGCTTTGTATATTTAGGTGTTCCATTGTGGAGTGCATATGCATAGTAGTTTCTCAGTATCCCTGGGGAATTGTTTCCAGAAATCCTTGTGTGTCCAGAATTGGTTCTTTCCAGTGGGTTCTTGGTCTGGCTGACTTCAAGAATGAAGCCACATACCCTCACGATGCGTGTAACAGTTCTTAAAGATAGTGTGTCTGGAGTTTGTTCCTTCAGATGTTCAGATGTGTCTGGAGTTTCTTCCTTCCAGTTTCACTTGACTTCAGGAGTGAAGCCTCAGACCTTCGCAGTGAGTGTTGCAGCCTTTAAAGGTGGCCCATCTGGAGTTGTTTGTTCCTCCCTGTGGGTTTGTGGTCTCACTGACTTCAGCAGTGAAGCTGCAGACCTTCACAGTGAGTGTTAACAGCTCATAAAGGTAGTGCAGACCCAAAGAGTGAGCAGCAGCAAGATTTATTGTGAAGAGTGAAAGAACAAAGTTCCCACAGCATGGTAGGGGACCCTAAAGGGTTGCCACTGCTGGCTTAGGTGGCCAGCTTTTATTCCCTTATTTGGCCCTGCCCACCTCCTGCTGACTGGTCTATTTTACAGAGTGCCGATTGGTCCATTCTACAGAGTGCTGATTGGTCCGTTTTTACAGAGTGCTGATTGGTGCATTTACAAACCTTTAGCTACACACAGAGCGCTGATTGGTGCGTTTTTACAGAGTGCTGATTGGTGCATTTACAAACCTTTAGCTAGACACAGAGCACTGATTGGTGTGTTTACAAACCTTTAGCTACACAGAAAAGTTCTCCAAGTCCCCACTAGACCCAGGAATCCCAGCTGGCTTCACTTCTCACTTGCATCTACCAAAATTCATTGATGCTCAAGTACCTGATATAAAATGACATAGAATTTGTATAAACTTTTGTACATCCTTCTGTATGCATTAAATCATCTCTAGATTACTTATAAACATAATACAATGTAAAATATTTGGTTTACTTTATTGTTTAGGGAATAATGACAATAATAAAAACTATATATAGTACAGATTGGATTTTTAAAAAAAATATTTTCGTTCTGTAGTTGGTTGAGTCTATGGATGTAGAACTCGTGAATACAGAGGGCCAGCTGTATTTATATAATTGTTATATCTTCTTGCTGAATTGACCTCTTTATAATTACATAACGACCATTTTTGTCTCTTTTTATAGTTTTTTAATTATAGCCTAGTTAACGGATATAAATATAGCTGCTCCTGTCTTCATTTGGTCTCCATTTGGGATATCATTTTCATCCTTTTACTTTCAGCCTATTATGTCCCTACAGGTGAAGTGCTTCTCTTACAGGTGAAGTACTTCTCTTGCAGGAAGCATAAAGTTAGATCATTCTTTAAAAAATCAATTTAGCACTCTACATCTTTTAATTGGAGAACTTAATATATTTACATTCAGGGTTATTATTGATAGATGAGGATTTAGTCCTGACATTCTATTATTCTTTTTATTTTATTTTATTTTCTAAGTTCTGGGGTACATGTGCAGGATGTGCAGCTTTGTTACATAGGTAAACGTGTGCCATGGTGGTTTGCTGCACCTATCTACTCATGACCTAGATATTAAGCCCACCATGCATTGGCATTCTATTATTCCTTTCTGGTTGTTTTATAGATTATTTGGTCCTTTCTTTGTCTCTTGTTCACCTTGTGATTAGACAGTTTTCTGTGGTGACTCTGATTCCCGTCTCCCTAATTATCAGTAATGCTGAGCCTCCCTCTATGTGCCCATTGGCCACCTGCTCATAGTAGACATCTTAAGCAAAAAGACATTACCTAACTTCAAAGTATACCACAAAGTTATAGTAACCAAAACAGCATGGTAGCATAAAAATAGACACACAGACCAATGGAACAGAATGAAGAACACAGAAATAAATCCACAAACTTACGCCAACTGATATTCAACAAAGGCACTGAGAACACGCATTGGAAAAGGGACTGTCTCCTCAATAAATGGTGCTGGGAAAATTTGATATCCACATGCACAATGAAACTAGATCCTCATCTTTCACCATATACTTAAATCATCTCTAAAAGGATTAAAGTCTAAAAGGAAGACCAAAACTATTAGAAGAAAACATAGTGGAAATGCATCATAATATTGGTCTGGGCAATGATTTTTTGGTTAAGACTTTGAAAGCACAGGCAACGAAAGCAAAAGTAGACAAATGGGAATACATCAGAAAAGCTTTTGCATAGCAAATCAAATAATCAAGAGTGAAGAGACAACATGCAGAATGGGAGAAAATACTTACAAACTATGCAACTGAGAAGGGGTTAATATCCAAAATACATAAGAAACTCAACTCAATTAAAAAATGGACAAAAGATCTGAATAGGCATCTCTCAAAAGAAGACATACAAATGGGAATAGGTATATGCATAAATGCTCAACATCACTAATCATCAGGGAAGTGCAAATCAAAACCACAATGAGTTATCACTTCATGCCTATTAGAATGATTATTATGAAAAAGAGAAAAAACATGCTGCCTTGGCATGGATGTAGGAAAGTAGAAACACTTAAACACTGTTGGTGGAGATGTAAATTTAGTTCAGTCACTATGAAAAACAGTATGGAGGTGCCTCAAAAAATTAAAAATGATCCAACAATCCCACTAGTGGGTATTTATCCAAAGGAAATAAAATCAGTATATCGAAGAGATACCTGCAGCACTATTAACAATAGCCAAAATATGGGATTAACCTAAGTGCTCATCAATGAATTAATGGATTAAAAAATGTGGTATATAGGCCTGGTGCGGTGGCTCACGCCTGGAATCCCAGCACTTTGGGATGCTGAGGTAGGCAGATAATTTGAGGTCAGGAGTTCAAGACCAACCTGACCAATATAGCAAAACCCCATCTCTACTAAAAATACAAAAATTAGCTGGACACGGTGGTGCATGCCTGTAATCCCAGCTACTTAGGAGACTGAGGCTGGAGAATCACTTGAACCTGGGAGGCAGAGGTTGCAGTGAGCTGAGATTGCATCACTGCACTCTAACCTGGGTGACAGAGTGAAACTCCGCCTTTAAAAAAAAAGAAAAAGAAAACTTAGTCTATATAGACAATGAAATAGCATTCATTCATTAAAAAAAAATAAAATCCTGTCATTTGCATTAATTTAGATGAACCTGGAGAATATTATGTTAAGTGAAATGAACCAGGCACAGAAACAAATACTACATGGTTTCACTGTTTTGTGGAATTTTTAAAAGCTGGTATCATGGGAGTAGAGAGTATAATAGTGGTTATCAGAGTCTGGGGAGGGTAGAAGGAGGAAGGAATGGAGAGAGATTTGTCAACAGGTACAAAATCACAGATAGAAGGAATAAGTTCTGGTGTTCTATTGCAAAGTAGGATGACTATCGATGATGATATTGTAGAGTCTATTTTAAAATAAGTAGAAGAGAGAATTTTGAATGTCCTCGCCACAAAGCAATGATAAATGTTTGAGGATATCGATAAGCTGATTACCCTGATTCCTGATTTGATAATTACATAATGTATACATGTATTGAAACATCACACTGTATCCCATAAATATGTACAATTATTATGTGTCCATAAAAAATAAAATAAAACTGAAAAAACTTATACAGTAGTGTGAAATGCTGTTGGGATGCTGGCCTGTGGCCAAAGCTGGTTCTGGTGTGTAATCAGGCAAGCCAGTGAAGAGTTGAAGGGTATGTACTGGTCAGTGTCAGTGGATCTTACTACTAGTTTCTAGTTTCTCAAAATCAAAATCTGATCTTTGATTCACCTGGAAAACACAGCCTGATGAGTCTCACT